GTGAAGAATGGTGGTGGTCTCGTCGTATTCCGACCGGTGGAACTCCGGGAAATCAAATTTTTGTGAAAAGTGGGTGTATGTGTTCTTGAGAGTTTGAGAGAGAATGAGAGGGTTTTGAGAGAATGAAATGAAGAAGGAGAGTTGCTGGAGGTTTTCAATCCATATTCAAGTGTGGTCAACACCCGGTCAATGTTGGTCAACTCATTAAACCACCTGGTCAACGAAAGTCAAAGCTGGTCAACAAATTATGGGATGATCGTCAAGGCAGCACGCGGGTCGCGCAGAGGGGGCGCGCGGGTCGCGCAGATCATGCAGTTTGGTCTCTGGTTTTTGTTGCAAGTTGAAGACCGGCCGCGCATACCAGCCGCGCACCCGTGCGCGGGTCGCGCAGATCCCTGCTCCCGGAAATCGATTTTTCTCTGTTTTCTTCTGTTTCTTCACTAGTTCTTGATCCCAAATGCCCCAAACACCTAGAAACTCTTGATTTCTTCAAAAATGACTTCAAAAGACACATCAAAACATTTTCAAAACTTCTTTATTCGAACGTAGAAACACGAAAGCATAAAGCTTTTCCAAAAATGCCTCTCTTTAACGTCTTAGGCGAGACGTCCTTCTAGCTTGGTTCAACACTCCGGGACATCCAAGTGGATGACTTCAATAACACTTGCATTAAAACTTTCATAGAATGGCTTTAATCGGTGCCCGTTAACTTTGAAAATATGTCCCGTTTCTTCACTTTGGATTTCCACCGCTCCATGGTCAAAAGTCTTTATTACAACAAATGGGCCAATCCACCTTGATCTTAATTTGCCCGGGAATAACTTCAACCGTGAATGGTAAAGTAAGACCCTATGTCCCGGTTCAAAATTCTTCCGGGTGATGGACTTGTCGTGGAAGAGCTTCGTTTTCTCCTTATAAATCCTTGCGTTTTCATAGGATTCGTTTCTCAATTCTTCTAGCTCTTGGAGTTGAAGTTTCCTATGCCTTCCAGCCTCGTCAATGTCGAAGTTGCATTTCTTGACCGCCCAAAATGCTCGGTGCTCTAACTCGACGGGAAGATGACAAGGTTTTCCGAAAACTAATCTGAAGGGCGACATTCCAATCGGGGTCTTATAAGCGGTCCGATATGCCCATAAGGCATCGTCAAGTCTCAAACTCCAATCCTTCTTTGTCGGATTCACCGTTTTCTCTAGAATAGACTTCACTTCACGATTCGAGACCTCCGCTTGACCATTCGTTTGAGGGTGATAGGCAGTGGAGACACGATGAGTCACGTGATACTTCTTCAATAGAGCCTCCATCATTTTGTTGCAAAAGTGCGTCCCTCTATCACTAATCAAAGCCCTAGGCACACCAAATCTCGCAAAAACATTAGACTTTAAAAACTCGATAACCGTTTTGGCATCGTCCGATCTTGTGGCTTTGGCTTCAACCCATTTAGAAACATAGTCAACCGCGAGTAAAATATAAACGTTGCCAAATGACACGGGAAATGGGCCCATAAAATCAATCCCCCATACGTCAAAAATTTCACAAACAAGGATTGGATTTTGGGGCATTTGGTTCTTTTGCGAAATGTTTCCCGTCCTTTGGCACCGCTCACAACTTTTGCAAAACATATAACAATCGCGTGACATGGTTGGCCAAAATAATCCACATTCAAGGACTTTTCTCAAAGTCCGGCTAGGTCCGAAGTGTCCCCCACAAGCAAATTCATGACAAATTGCAAAATGGATTGGTGCTCTTGTTGGGGCACACATCGCCTAATGATTTGATCGGGACAATGTTTCCACAAATAAGGTTCATCCCACACATAGTATTTTGCATCACTTTTCAACTTGTCTTTTGAGCACGCGTGAATGTGTCGGGATACCTTTTTGTGACCAAAAAGTTAACGATATCGGCATACCAAGGAATAGATTGGGTAAGGGAAAAGAGATGCTCATCCGGAAACTCGTCCCGCAATGGGAGAGGAGTTTCATTTGAAGTGATCCGACTTAGATGATCGGCAACGAGGTTCTCGCATCCGCTCTTGTCCCGGATTTCCAAGTCAAATTCTTGTAACAGTAGGATCCACCGGATGAGTCTCGGCTTTGCATCTTTCTTCGTCATCAAGTACTTAAGAGCTGCGTGATCCGAATACACTATGACCTTGGTACCAAGTAGGTATTGTCTAAATTTCTCCAAGGCGAACACTATGGCCAATAGCTCCTTCTCCGTGGTAGAGTAGTTGCTTTGGGCATTGTCTAGTGTCCTTGATGCATAATAATCACATGGGAGGCCCTCCCATTCTTTTGACCCAAAACGGCGCCAATCGCATAGTTGCTTGCATCACACATGATCTCAAAAGGGAGATCCCAATTTGGTGCTTGCATGATGGGAGCGGATGTAAGCAACTCTTTGAGCTTGTCAAAAGCTTCTTTGCACGCCTCATTGAACTCGAAATCGACCTCCTTTTGCAAGAGTTGGCACATTGGTCTTGTTATCTTTGAAAAATCCTTGATGAACCTTCGGTAGAAACCTGCATGGCCCAGAAAAGAACGAACTTCCCGAACACAAGTCGGGTAAGGTAAGCTTTGAATAACATCAATTTTGGCCTTATCTACCTCAATTCCTTTTTTAGACACAATGTGACCCAAAATGAGACCTTGACTCACCATGAAATGACATTTCTCAAAATTCAAAACCAAGTTTGTTTCAATGCATCTTTTTAAAATTTTTGTGAGATTAGTCAAACATTCTTGAAAAGAGTTGCCATGTACCGTGAAATCATCCATAAAAACCTCAATTATGTTTTCAACATAATCCGAAAAGATACTAACCATACAACGTTGGAAAGTGGCCGGGGCGTTACACAATCCAAATGGCATTCTCCGGTATGCAAAAGTACCAAATGGGCATGTAAATGTTGTCTTTTCTTGGTCCTCCGGTGCCACCGGGATTTGGTGAAAACCAGAGTACCCGTCTAGACAACAATAATGGGATTTCCCGGCCAACCTTTCTAACATTTGGTCAATGAAAGGCAATGGGAAATGATCTTTTCGTGTGCTCGCATTGAGTTTGCGGTAGTCAATACATACTCTCCACCCGTTTTGCACACGGGTGGGAACCATCATACCTTTGTTGTTCTCGACCACCGTGATTCCCGTCTTCTTTGGAACGACTTGCACCGGACTCACCCACTTGCTATCCGAGATTGGATAGATCATCCCCGCATCAAGAAGCTTTAATATCTCTTTCTTCACGACTTCCATCATTGGTGGATTTAGCCTTCTTTGCGCGTCTCTACTTGGCTTGCATTCATCCTCCATTAAGATCTTGTGCATACAAGTGGAGGGGCTCAAACCCTTGATATCCGCAATCGTCCAACCCATGGCTTCTTTATGCTCCTTCAACACCTTGAGGAGTTGCTCTTCTTCAAATTCGGTTAAATGAGTTGAGATGATAACCGGAAGGGTTTCATTCTTTCCCAAGTAGGCATACTTCAAGTGTTGAGGTAAGACCTTTAATTCCAATTCGGGTGGTTGAACAAGGGATGGAGACAATTTTGTATGAGTTGGGACAATTCAATTTGCTTGACATCTAATCTTGTGGATTTTTTCATTTCCATTTTATTTACCAACTTCTCAACTTCCGGATCCAAAGAATAAAGCTTTAATTGCTCGGCTAGCTTCCCACAATCGAATCCTTTGCTTAAGATCATCTCCAACATATCACCGTTAGATAACTCAAACAATTCTTGAGTAATTGGCTCAACAACATCAACAAAGTACAAAGATGAAACATCACTAGGATATCTCATGGCATCATAAATATTAAAACTTATTGTTTCACCATCAAACTCCATTGTCAAACTTCCCGCATACACATCGATTTTTCCTAGCCGTCTTCAAAAACGGTCTCCCAAGCAAGATTAGAGCCGATTTGGAAGACACTTGCTCATCTAGATCAATCACATAGAAATCCGCCGGGAAGACTAATTGGTTCACTTGCACTAGGACATCTTCTAAAACACCTCTAGGAAAGACACTTGATTTATCCGCAAGAGAGATTATGACACCGGTTTCACTTAAGGGTCCGACATTTAATGATTCATACACTGAATAGGGCATGACATTGATAGAAGCACCAAGATCAAGCATAGCACTACTAAAAGTGACATCTCCAATCTTGCAAGGAACCGTGAACATTCCGGGATCTTTGCATTTGGGTGGAAGTTTCCTTTGTAAAACCGCGGATGCGTTTTCATTCATCAAAATTTTCTCATTTCCCTTCAACTTCCTCTTGTTGGTACAAAGTTCTTTCAAGAACTTTGCATATCTCGGGATTTGCTTGATTGCATCAAGTAGAGGGATGTTTACTTCCACCTTTCGGAAGGTGTCCAAAATCTCTTTCTCCTCCATATTCTTCTTTGAAGTTGCAAGTCGAGAGGGGAACGGTGGTTGAGTGGCTATTGGTGTTACTAGAGGGATGGACTTCTTTGGAACTCCGGTTGTGCATCGTTCTTGACTGTAGGTTCTTCAATGGGAATGATCTCTATTTCTTCTCTTCTTCCCTTGGCTTCTTCTTTGAACTACTTTCTCCGGCTTGCTTGCCACTTCTCAAGGTCACCACATTGACATTTGGGTTCTTTTCGGTTTGAGAAGGGAGTTTACCACGAGATTCCAACTTGCTTATAGATGTAACTATATCTCCCATTTGTGCTTCAAGGTTGGAGATACTAGTCCTTGTCTCTTTTTGGAATTGTTGGGTACTAGTGGCTAGAGATTTGACAATGTCTTCAAGAGACATTCCGGAGCTACTTGGTTGAGATTGAGGAGATTGTTGATGATGATGTGGAGGGTGCGGTTTGGATTGATAGTGTGGTTGTTGATGTTGGTATTGAGGTTGTGGTGGTGGATAGGACGGTCTAACCAATGCATTGTGAGGCAATGGTCTTGGGTTGTAGCTTCCGTTGGGATTTGGTTTCCAACTTGAATTATATGCATTTTGGTACCCGGATGGTTTGTTGTGGTAGTTTTGGAATTCTCCCGTGGCATTCACATGCTCCGCATCTTCTTGAAGGATGGGACACATATCCGTAGGATGTCCCATGGTTGCACATATTCCACAAACCATCACTTGTGGAGTTTGTCCCATGGCTAGCTTTTGGACGACGGATGTTAGATCTTTTATTTGAGACTCAAGATTCGATGTTCCCACTTCATTAACTTTGTGTTGTGTGTCTCTCTTCATGTCTTGGCGAGGGCCAAAATGTTGTGAATTTGCGGCTATGGTGTTGAAAAGTTGTCTTGTTTTTGTGGGGTTTTACTAAAGACATCTCCACCACTTGAGGCATCAACTAGTCTTCTCTCCATTGGCAACAATCCCTCATAGAAGTGTTGAATGAGGAGTTGTTCCGGAATTTGGTGTTGTGGGCAACTATAGCACAAGTTGTTGAACCTCTCCCAATAATCATGGAAAGTCTCATTTTGACCTTGGCGGATTCCACAAATCTCATTTCGAAGACTTGAGACTCTTGAGGCGGGATAAAACTTGTCAAGGAAAGCTCTTGCCATGTCGGTCCATGAGTTGATCGACCCCGGTGGAAGATAGAATAACCAATCTTTTGCTCTATCGGCCAATGAAAAGGGGAATGCCCTTAGCTTGATTTGGTCATCGGTTGACCCTTGTGGCTTCATGCTAGTGCAAATAATGTGGAACATCTTCAAATGCTTATGAGGGTCTTCATTCTCCAATCCATGGAAAGTCGGTAGGTGATGGACTAAACTTGACTTCAACTCCGAGCCTCCTTCCAAAACCGGGTAATTGATACCGGTTGGAGTTTGTGTAACATCGGTCTCCATCATTTGCCTCAAAGTTCTTTCGGGAACTTCTCCTCCGTCCGCCATTTCAATTGGTTCAATAATGGGTGGATTTTGTTGTAGGGGTGGTGTTTCGGGAATTTCTTGGCGAAGGTCGGGACTAGAATCGGGTTCTATGTCGCTTAATGAAGCGGTTTCGACCTCCGGATCCCCGTGAGGATTAGAAGTTTGACCACGTTCAATTCGCTTTTCCTTCGCCAAACGCCTTGCTTCTTTTTCGATTTCTGGATTGTAAATCAAGTCACCTGTACGCTGAGATCTGGGCATAGAGAAACAAATTGATTAAAAATAAACCAATCCCCGGCAACGGCGCCAAAAATTTGGTGGTTGTCGAGGCCAACACAAATAATAAC